GTAATTAATTTACTCAAACATGCAGAACTTATTTCTCCAAGTACAGACTCTTAATTAATGATCCGAACGGTCAAAGTGAAGAAATAGGTCTTAGGATTCATATATTAAAATTTTAGCTAAATCCAACGGTAAAAAAAATTAAAAGGAATGTTTTACCACAGTAACTCGAAAATAAGAAAAATTATAATAATGAAAACTAAATTTACACAAGTGAATAGATAACTACCATTACCAAAATTTTAACATGTTCATAACTCATATTCATGATCATAATATGTATAAATATCATATGTAAAATTTAAGTTTGTTTATATTCCAACAGGCTTAAAATCAAAATTTAAATCTATTATAATATTACCAGATTTAAAATAGGAACTCTTATTTACCAAAATGTCAACGCATATTTACTGAATCTATTATTTCAAAAGAGACTTAAATGGAGAGACTTAAAAAGGTGTTTTTGTACTAGTGTGCATCTTGTTTATAGTTCTTCTTGTGGTGTTATGTAGTGTCTTGCACTTAGAGTTTGTCTATGTAGTGTTTGGTTTGGATTTGATATGGTGCTTATATGAAGTATGTTGCATCTTATTTAAACTTGTCTAGTGCTCTTAATCATTTTTTATTATCAAAATTATGAGTGTCTTGGAAAAAACTTTCATAGATAAACTTTCTTTTAATAATATGAGATCTAGTGTTTGTCTTACTGATATGCTTCATAAGTAGGGATAACATATTAGATGAGATGTAAATGACAATGATATGTAGAAATATGAAAAAGAGAAATGAAAAGACTTAACTTTAGGTGGAGTCTACTTTTTTTTTATCATAAACTAATAAATTTTAGGGAACACACAAGAGTGTATAAAATCAACAGAATATGGAGGAAGAAATTGAATTTTTGAAGAATAATAATATGTCAAAACATGTAGACCTACCTAAAAGTAAAAAATATGGTTGGATGTGAGTCACTATTCAAGAGAAAAAAAAGGTCAAACTACTAGGTATGGAAAAAGAAAGATTCAAGACAAAACTAGTACCAACAAATTTTACCCCTGTGAATGAGATTGATTAAAACATTACTCGATAAAGATTTTGATTTGAATAAATAATCATAATAATACGAAGTTACAACAATTGAATGTCAAAATAACGTTCTTATTACTTGGAGACTTGTAAGAAACCATTTACATGCAATATGGTTGAAGGGATGATATGAGTTAAGTATTGTATAAGACTACGTGTCTATTTAGTGTGATAACCAAGTCATATATTAGTTAATCATCAATGTACTATAAGATGACTAAACATATTAAACTACACTTAATTAGAGATGTTGTTAAGCCTAGAAAAGTCAAGATTACAAAGGTAACTTTTGAAAATAATCTTTCAATTATGTTTATGAAGTCTTTACTAAGATCTTAGTTCAAGTTTTGCTTTCATGTTACTAGTTTTTTTCATTTGAAAAAGATGAACAATGATAAAAAAAATTCCTTTATGATCTGGAGTTAAGGCAAAAATTTGTGAAAATGACTATAAAGCATGTGATTTGAAGAAGAGCTCAAATCTTATTTACTATATTGACCATTGGACTACTCTAATGATATCTCATTAGACTTGTCTAATTGTTGTTGGTTAAACTCATATAATATTGTATTCAATTAGATCTTTTAATAGAGTTAGCACTAGTGAAAAATTAATTTTCATGTCACACAATTCATGACAGACCTAGAGAAAATTAATGAAATAAAATGTGTGATGACAAATTTGTAAATAACTAGAACATATATTTATGTCAAATTGTTAGGGTCGAATGTAAAACTTGACATTTACGTTGGATTAACATAAAATTTGATATAAATATTAAGTTTTATATCAAACCCCTATCATTATGACATAAAACAATTTAAATTAGGATTTCATGTTTCTTCTTCATGATTTTTCCCCCTTATCCTTCACGTTTCTTTCATTGGATAGTGATGATGATTGTGTTGTTGCATGAGTGTTTATGAATATTTAGAAGGCTACTTTTTTGTATGAATGGGTGGTTGTGAGTGTTTCATGATGGTGAATAATATTTTTTGATTGTATTGAAGTTTTGTGGGTTTAAGCATTAAAATTGAACTATGATTATCTCAATCATGATAATACATGAATGTCTTTAAGAGTTTTGTGTTTTTAATTTTTTGTTATTTATTGTTTTGTTTCTCATGTCCTAAAATTTTGTTGTATCATTTAGATTAGATACTATAAATTTTTTTGTATATAAATTAACAGTGATATTTTTTTGTATTTCAAATTCTGGTTGAAGCCAAAATTGATTTAATTAGAAAAAGCAAAAAAAATTACGTCAAATCTCAATTACATAAATCTAAGTTACCTACATTCGCGTTGGATTGTTAACTAAAAAAAGAAGCATAATTAATATCCAATGTACAAAAGCCTATTTTTTTTTATATTGTGGACTCATCTATTGGTACTTAAATAATAAATAATATAATATTTTAATGATTTTCTTTTACACTTGAACTTTTACATAAAGTCTACTTACTTTGAAACTCTATGTACATTATTGATATATGACCTCAATGGGAATGAGATGATACTTTTGTTTAATATATTAATGTTTTCTTATGCGATTGTTTATTTCATTAATGTACTCTTATTATTGTAAATAAAATAGGTGTCATCGCTAAAATGAATAAAGATTCCAAATTATTATAACGTGTGTTTAAATCTAATTCATTTACATAAAATTAGTTCACTAAGAAAATATTTGTTTTCATTGATATATTGTTAAATGATATTGTCTTTATTCTCTCATGCAAGAACATTAAGCATAAGTATAGAAGGTGACTCGATAACGATCGATCAAAATCTCAACTATGATAGATTGTTAATATTTTTGATATCATATTAGACTCTAATATCATTTTAAAATAATGAAATTAGTAAAGAAAATCCATTAAGGTGAGTTTTATCTACACATCACTAAAAGAAAATTGCATATTACCAACAAGGTCAATCCGTCGATAATAGTATAAATTTGTCAGTAAATCTTGTTTATTAACGAACTATAGATAACCAAAAATTTGTTGGTAAAGTAGTTGTTGATAAGTACCAATAAAAAGAAAAATTTGTTGATAATTACTAACGATCACAAATATATTGGTAAATGTTTGTCGGTAAATATATGTTGATAATTACCAACAGATTTTAGAAATCGGTAATGTCTTTTGGTAAAATATGGGATGTAATTTACCAATGGACAATGTCAATATTTTTTACTATCTATAATTATAATGATAAGTTATCGATAAAAATATTTGTTAATAATTAATTATTATTTAATGACTTTTTTTTCTGATAAATTTTATCAATAGATTTCTTTCAAAATTAAATTATGGAATTTGTTGAAAGAATTTGTCAATCAATTTAAATTTATCGATTATGAAATTTGTCAAAAGAATTCGTCGATCAATTTAAATTTACGGATAGATGCATTGCTATAACTCATGGTAATTAAAAGAAAAAGTCTTAAAGAAAAAGTCTTATTGCATTTATATATTATTAAATCTCTAACTAATGTAAAATCTTTGACAAAAGAAGTGAAATGTAGTGTAAACTTGAAATTGATGCAATAAGATTATTTAACTTAAGCTCTTGAAAAACGAAAGTAATATTCTCTTTATCTTTGCTTCATTTTGTTTCTGATTTTCTCGTGTAGCCTCCATGGCTACTGTAACGTAGGATGATGTCATTGTGTAATTTACTCCATTGGTTGATAGACCTTAAACCTGCGCCCAATCAACCTTAGAGAGTGAATTGTTTTTGACTGGTCTCGTGTGCATGGGACGAGACAAGTAAAATATACTTTGGCATTATAAGATTTTCTAGAAAACAGATTGCGCATGGGACGAATCCAGTTATTTAGTGTTGACTTTATTCATGCCTGAAACTATAAGATACTACTTATTATAAATTGAGATGCTAACCCCAGTGGACTTTATTTACACTATAAAGCCCATAACCAAACGGAACTTTTTGTATAGCTTAATCTATTAGAAATTAATCTTCTTTGAGCATGTAAAAAAGTATACCTTATGATCATTTAATATATGAACAAAGAGAATGTTTAATTTCATTTCGTAAGTGATTACTTGTGTTATAGTCTTGAGTATTAAAAATTGCAATTACTCAAAAATATTTTCAGTAATTTGAATGTAAATCACGAATTCACCAAACCAAACGTGAATATTTTAATCACCACGGGTTTTGTTTTTCTCTCTATGCTTTTTTCTTGTTATCCAAAGCATACGAATGATTTAATGTAGCTAGGAAAAGAACATCTCTATCAAAACAAAGAAGAAGAAATAAATTGAAAAAAGTTAGGTAAAGGCAGCATATATGCATATATAATAGATTCAAATATGCATTCACCTGTTACTTCACTTTGCTTATAATATTCATTTACTATATTATACCTGATTATTTCATCTTATTTTTCGGGCACCTACATTCTAATCTTGTCACGTACCTAAACATGAAGTGACGCGTTAATCAATTTTCATATGCAAAACATGATAAATAGTAAAGATCCTATGTCATGCTCAAACATCAGACAGGTACAAGTGGCCTCCGTTGAACGAACAAATTGTTAATTTACGAAGCACCTTACTTTAAAAACAACATCCAAACAACGAATGGAGTATAGATAATATTAATATAAAAGAGAAAACCAAACAATGAAGAAACCAGTGCTCCGTCAATAGTTTGGGAGGGAATTAATAAAATAAAAACCAAACTTCAAACTCAAACCATCCAATCTTGTTCCAAAAGCTCAAACCCATCAAACAGAAACCTACAAAACCAGCTAGATAACAGTAATAATAGAAAAACTTGTGTGCTAAATGCAGGTGTTGGTTCACACGTAGCTTTCAAGGTCATACGTGAGAGTTTATGTTGAAAATTTCCTGGCTTTGCGTGAAGAATTGGACTCTGATCCAAAACAACTTTCTCAACGTCATCATTTTTCTCCAACCCTTTTATATACCCTAGGAATTGATCATGCCTTCCACTCGTCACATTCATCACATTTGAGACACCCCAGAAGGCCAAACCAAAACCCAAAAACCCTTTTCTTTCTCTGAAACTCATCAGCACACATACAAAATGGAGGGTCTGATTCCTTTCGTTTACAAGGCCATAATGCAATACAAGGGTACTGGCAAAGAGGGTCCTTTAGGATCATGGATTTGTGAGTCCCCTTCTTACTCATACATGAGACTTCCTGGTGATTCGGGAAGGTTTCAAATTCAAGCACCACCTTCATTCTCTGCACCTTCACCCTCTTCCAACAACCCTACTTCTTCTGCCACCCAAATCATCGTTTCCTCTGGGGTTCAGTCCCCACATCAGTGTTTGACTCATCGTCGAATTGCAGCATGAAGATGCATGAAGAAGAACATGACTACGGAGCTAATTGGTTGGTGCCTGAAGAAGAAAAGCTGAAGGTGCAGACCAACTGGTTCTGGTGGAAGGAAAGTGATGGTGGTCTCTTTGATTATTCAAGAGTTCAAGTTTGTGGTTTCAAGTGTTGGAAATGTTGTTTTATTTCGATTTTGGATGAGCGTGTGGAAACAACCAAAGGGTCTCTTCATACGCTTAGGTAGTGGTTGATGGTGGTATTATTGTGTAATTAAGTTGTAGATATGTTTCTGATGCTTAAGAATTGTTCTTGTTCTAGCCAAATGGCCACTTCAACTGAGTTTCTGGACAAAATAATAGCCAAAATGAAATGTTTTTTCTTTTTGTTTATTGTTTGTTCAATGTTCTGATTCTGCATTCTCTTTTTTTTCTTTTTCTTGGCGTTTGAATTTAGGTTATGTTTAGATGATTTATTTATAAGTTATAGAAGAAAATTTTAACTTGTATGATTCTCACAAAATTTTGTTTTTTTATCTATTCTAACAACTATAAGGTATATACGTACTAAGGTTAATTTTGCTTTATATTTTGGTCTAAATAAGGTTTTGGTCTCTATGATATATCTTTTGTTTTAATATAAAATAATTATTTTCTAACGAATTGTAAGTTTGATTTAAGTCCTTTAAAAAAACATTTATTGTATTGATTTCCAGGATTATTTTAATTCATTTTTGTAATACATTTAGATTATCTTTTGTTCTTAATTTATTTTGCAATAATATCTAAACATATTATTTTATATGGAATTAAGAAGAAATAGGCATTAACGGGAATAATTAAAGTATTTTTGGTTGTAATGAGTAAAATAAGTGTGTGGTTGGTTTGTTTTACATTTGGTCAATCTTTCCATCATTATCATCAAACAATATGTAATTAAAAAATTGTTTAAGCTAATAGCACAACGTTTTGTGTGGGCGGCTACAGCTACAGAAGAAATGTCATCTCATCACCAACTTTCTTCCCACAACCTAATCCAAACTTTCCCAGTTGAAAATTTTCACTTTCCTTCTTATTTTATAATAATAATAATAATATTAATAATTAACTTTCCAACTTTATCTCTCCACCTCAAAATGAAATCAAAAGCATCATCAAGTGATGCATAGTAGAAAACTGAAACCTTTTTCTGAAGAAACACACTAATATATTCATCGATCAATCCATCCTGTTCATCTTGAAATTCTTAAAGAAATATCATCTTTGAGGGGAGAAGATGTAAACTGGCAGTTTGGGTACTTGTTCTTGGTATTCTGCCAATGGTGGGTTCTTTCTTTTCTTTGGTTAGACTTGTGCTTTGAATTTGGTTTTCTTAAGGTCATGTTCGGTTTCTTTCCTGACGAGGAAAGTTCTATTCCATGTAATGTGATATTTTTCATCCGTACAGTAGATTGGACCTAAAAAGTTACCCAAATAACATATTCTCTTAAATATCCATATATATATATATATATATATATATATATATATATAAGATTTTTATTCCAAGATAAAGTTTAATTTATGAGAAATCAAATTCTGATGTGTGTTATGTTATGTAAATATATCTTTTTTAAATGAAAAAAAGTTTAAAATTTGATTTTTAGGAAAATAAATTCTGATTTGTTTTTCAGCCCGTTTGTTTTTTATCACAATTCCAAATTTGACTTTTCAGAAACCAAATTCTTACCTAAACAATTCGTATTATTTATACATTATGAGAAAAATATTATATTATCGATATTATTTTGTCAAAAAAATATATTAATAAAACAAAATTTATCAATAAAATTTTATTAACAGTTTTTAAAATTTTAAAGAAAATATATGTCACTTAATCTATTAATAAAACTCATAGTTAAATTAAATTTTTTATTATTAATTAAATTCATCGATAAAATTTGTCAGACAATTTATAATGTTTGGTTGAAAAAATTTAATTCTTTCTTGTTTTTTTTCAATTAGGTTTTATTTTTTTCAAAATTAATTTCAATTAGTATTATACAATTAATATTAAAGACATGTCAGGTGTCTGCTTGTATCTTTTTATTTTATTTTTATTTATTTTTTTTAAATTTGTGTTGTCCAAGTCTGAAGTTTATGGAGTGACATGTGACAGAGTGACGCTATGTATTAGTGTTAGTGCTTATCACTGTGAGTATCAATTATCATTCTTTAGTATCCAAAGTTATCACTTTAAGCTTTCACCATTTTGTGGTAAAATATATCGGTAAATCACTTGGTAATTGATGTTTTTTTAAATTTGTGCATAATTGATTGAATTTTAAAATTAATTGGTAAATTCTTAATAATTGTATTCTTTGAAAATTCATCACTAAATTAGTCAATAATTTAATATTTGTATATTTTGTCGATAATTCTACTTTTTTTAAAAAAAAATAATTACGCCAACAAAATGAGTATCAATTTTGTTGACAAAATATTTGTTATAAATTAAATTGGATGTAGATTACCAGAAGAAGAGAAAGAGAAGGAGAAGGAGAGGAAGGAAAAGAAGGAGGAGGAGAAAAAGGAGAAGGAGAAGGAGGAAAAGGAGGGAGAGGTTATAACAATAGCGTAAAGGGATGACAAACATGGAGGCAACTACAATAATAGCAAGTACAAAGGTGGTGTCAACCAACGACAAAGGAAAAGGAAAATGAGAAGGAGGAAGAGCAGGTGACAACAAGGAAACGAATGTGATAGAAACAACGATTGTAAAAAACATGTAGTGGAATTATTAAAGCGTAGATAAATACATAAGGGGATGAATTGGTTCGTGTTAAAAATTGCTTCCTTTTTAACAGATTTTTGCTTTTAAAAATTTCTTTAATAAAATTGAAAAATTAATTTGAATAAAAGCAAATAAATAAAGGAAAGAATGGAAGAAAAAAAATTACACATGTAATTTTTATACCGATTCATATCAAAAAGACCATACGTTTAGTGGTTAATCTCTCCAAGAGAGGGATTAACCTTTCCGCTAAAATAAGTAACAATTTACAATAGAGAAATAAAGATTGAGATTAGAAACCACATTTCTCAACATATAAGAGATGAAAGGCACCTCCTTTTGACACACAAAAGGATAAACAACTTAACTCTACTTTGTAGGTATACTTCACCACTTAGACATACTAAGAAAAAAACACTTCTTCTAGAAGTACCAAGTATCACAAGCTCTCTTTTCAGAAACATAGTGAATTTCCCTTAGACATACAACTCCAATACTCGTAGTGAAAATTTTCTTTAAGTTAGGTTTGAGTTAAGTATTTATATACTCTTACATTTGAAAATTAGGTTAAAAACCTAAGAGTTAGGTGCATAACTTCCACTCATAATCGATTATCATAAGTGATAATCGATTATTCCAAAAACGTTTTCAAATAAAAAAATTGAAGTGTGATAATCGATTATCACGGATAATCCATTATCACATAGGCATTTCTAAAATTTTTTATTTTAATTGGATAATCGATTATCACAAAGGCTTTTATGAAAAATAAAACTTTTTTTTTCTGAATATATGCTACTTAGGTTCTACCTATTGACTCTTGAATTACTAAATTAAATACAATACACATATTACAAGACTTTAACAACTAAATTATTAAGTCTTCAATGTATCTCTTGAATCCAAGCACTTTTTTAATCTTCAACACCTCCATGAAATATCATCATCAAAATTCTCTATTAAAGCAAGATATCTACCTTCTTTTTGCTAACAACGATCACCATGAAAGAGAAAGAAAAGGAAAAATAAGAAAAACAAAGAAGGAAGAAGAAGAAAACCATATAACAATATTTATTAATGAATTTTATTAATGATTAAAATATATCGATAATTACAACAAGTTTGGACCATTTATAATTATTGATGAATTTTTTATTGTCGACAATTATTAACATATTTTTTTGTCTATTGATAAAATTTATTGACGAATATTTTATCAACAAAAATTTAATCATCAATAATTTTAATTTACCAACAATTTTGTGATTATTAACAAATTATATCTATAAAGAATTCTACCTTTTTCTTTTTGTAATAATATAAATATTTCATACAGGATTATTATTCGAGTAATTTTTTTATCCATATATTTAGGTGAAAAAGTCATGAAATGTTTACTTTTCTACCCCACTCAGTTTAGTTAACTTTTCAAATACTTAAGGCTCCACTCCTCCACTCCTCTCTCTTATCATCACCCTCGTAGTAACTTTACTTTTTTTTCTCTTAAACTCCGGTAAAAGTAACTTTGTGTGTTTTTTTTTCTTTTCACAAAAGTTTATTGAAACTAGTTTTCATGACATAATAATTTTAAATACATTACAAAAGGCAAAGTTGTAATGCATTAAAATATACGCAAAATAGTTTTCATAATGTATTTGTTTCAATACATTACAATACAATATGCTTTCTGTAATGTAGTTAATAATACTACTAGATGGGTCACACCTTGCTAAAATACATTGGAAAAACCCGTTTCTAACATGTCACTATTGTGAAAAGAGTTCTAGATATTTACAAAATTACTAATTTCAACCATTAGAAAGTTTAAAAGTAAAATAATAATAATAATAATAATAATAATTGAATTGCTTCACGGTGGATGTAAATGACACAATAGACACATCTAACAAAATGTGATCACTTTATCACATTATTATATTAGAGTAATGCATATATAAATTAAACTTTTAAATAATGTGGGATTAAATATATTTGTATTATCTAAACTATAATACAATTGAAATTTTTCCTCCAATTTTAATACAATTTCATCTCAAAATTTTAAAAATAAATAAATGTAGTCTTTGTTATTAGATGTTAAAAATTTTCTTATGTGACAAACATACATTCTGTAACATCCTAAAATATAGTATAATACTATATCATAGATTAATCACATATAAAATATGATAGATCAGTTCTCTAAGAGTTCGTAAAGTATTTAACATTTCAGTTATCCAAAAATAACTATAAAAATTTAAAACTTTAGAAAGTTCTTATACTATTGCAAAACAAAGTAAATAACCGAACGACTATTACAATTATAGATTTGTGACCGAACGATTTACCAAAAACTATATACAATTTATAACCGAAAGGTCTTAACCTAAGCAGTAGGATCATCGCCTTCCAACGCTTGTTCCACCAAACACTCATCGCCTTCTGCTTACATCCACAGGATGTTCATTGCAAAAGAAATACGACCGAACGGAAAACATAAGACAAGATAGGAAAAGTAGGGTAAGCTAATGTAATTTAATTATAAACACATCTATACATTTCATACAAGTTCAAACAATGTGAGACCGAACGCTACCTCATGCCAACACCGAATACAAGC